AGAGAAAATGAGTGTAGTACCTCTGAGTCTGAAGAAGAAGATTTTTGAAATATTGATAAATTTTCCCTTTGGGGCCCCGCCCTGGCCCCAGGGGTTGGGGTAGGAATCCCAATTTTACAATTTTGAAGCCTCATCTACCAAGGATGATTCTGACCAAGTTTGAAAAAAATCCATCCACTGGTTCTTGAGAAGAAGTTGAAAATGTAAAAGTTTACGCACGACGGACGAAAAGCGATTAGAATAATTCTCACCAAGTAGAAAAAAAGATACTGTTCAACAATAATCAATATTCTTTTTAACGCAAAGGGTGTATACAGTATAGTGTAAATAAAGCAGTCGTTGCTATTCGTTTACGTCAATAACGTTAACTTTGGATCAATTTCCAGAAAGATGCTGTCAGTACGGCATACCCCGACACATGGAAATCAACTTCTAATGCAATAGAGAAACTATTGCTTAAATGATTAAAAAACACAGGTCTTCCTTCTGGAGTAATATTTTCATTGAACTTGGCATGATTTTCTCACATGATGTGTCAAGGTATACCTTGGTATCTTTGGGATTGACTTATGTAAAAAAAAAAAAACACCCAGGAGAACAGGTCACAAAATACAAAGTAAAAAGTTGGAACGTTGATCAAACGCGAAAATCTTTGATAAAATATCGAAACGACTTTAGGGAGGAGCTGAATAATTCAGTCTTTATACAGTATAAATTATATACTGCAACGTCCGCGCACCTTGTACCCGAGGTGTTTTTATAAGATGTAATGAAATAATTCTTTTCCGAATTTAAAATAATTATTGTGGTTGCGTGTTTCTGTTTTTAAATCGCGTTGTCCTTTAACTCGTTTTAACACGTCCTGTTTGCGTGGTTTCACCCACATGACCAAACCGGAAGGTTTTAACGAGAAGAATTTTCTAGAAGCCGGCAACGCGTCCAAAGTCGATTCGGTAACTAAAGTACATCTTTCATGATTCTAAAGAATATTTTCAAGGCGAATTTTAGAGTTAATTATTTCACACATGTAACAGTAGATCAAATTTTGTTATATTTTTCTGAGAAACGTTACCTGGGGAAACTAGTTTTATAGGTGTAGCGCGTTCAGTCGAACACGTGGTGCAGGTTGGGTGGCAACAAAGAACGATCGCTTTTGTTACATTCTTTACATTTAACAAAACAGACCTCCAACCTGTTTTTAGGATAAGATAAAATATCATAACGAGCTTAAATGAACAAATAAGTTCGTACTCCATTGAACTTTCCAAGAATAAAAACTCGACTTTTCGTTGCTGCGGCCATTGTACACCGCGAGTGCACGAGGACTCTTCTCCCCAGATTTAAAAAAAAAATTAATTTGAGTTGTCAATTATTCCTGATACTTTAAACATAATAAAATGTTCCTCGGAATATTTTGCGTATCTTACCTGTGTTTTGGTGAGTTAACTTGAATAGTAGAGCCAGATATTTTATGTTCTTGTCACAGCTTAAAACCCCTCGATCCGGTGTGTTCTTGGTGTCCGGCGTTATGCGACCCGTATTTATGCGCACCAGAGGATATGACATCATTTCTGGAAGATTCCAGAACACAACCAATCTGCCAATCAGAGAAGAGAAGTAAGTCACGTGCCCAATATGCTAAATATCGGCCCAGTTTCGCAAAATTTTGGAACGTTCGTGAAACTGGCTGGGATCATATGACGAGAAGGACTATGTATAAGTAGAAAAGTACTTGTTTCCCAATCAACGGAATGAAATGTCTTTTGAAATATCCTCGGGTTACCGGTTTCCGCGCTTTTAAGAAGCATCCGCGATTTCGTACTAGGCCTAATATCTGCTGAAAACTGTTAAAAATTACGGATGACGACCGTCATAAACATGTATATAATCTACTAAAGGAACAAAAACTAGCAACAAAAAACTGTATTTTTACAAATCAGAACAAACGATTTTTAACAAATTTCTCTCGACGGAAGTAGCCGTCATATGTTTCCGTGTGTCTATTTTGATTTAGTGTTCAAAGAAAGATAACTCGAATACACTAAAAAGAAATTCTCTACAGTGACCTGCAAGAACAAAAGCTTCGTTTTGAATAAAAAAATATCTTTGATCGTCAAATCAATTTTTTTTTTTTTTTAAATTTCACATTTTTAATTGATTTTTCAACATGTCAAATTGAACGAATTCATGTAATTTTATAAATTTATTCATTATATTTATTTAGTTAAAATATAGAATCTGTTATTATTTTTTTCTGCAGTCTTATATCGGTTTTGGTTGATGGTAAGTTATTTCTCATTTTGTTCTGTTTAAAATTGGTGAAAATTGGAAGTTCATTGCATTACAAGGTTTACGTTTCATTGAAAACACTGTTTATCGATATAAGAATGCCTCCTTGGAAGTGGAAAAAAATCGTCGAGGAGATGTGGCCTCATTTGCATACGACATTTTCGTACGAATTCCGTGGTTTGTCAGACTACAAGAAAAACTGGTTTATGAACGAGATATATCAACGTTTTTTTAGGTATGGGTTCATTTTGAGCAAGATAAAAAGTCCATTAAGCAAAACTGCATATGTATTCGTGTTTTTTAATCAGTGATTAATTCTTATGTTTTCCGGACGAACTTCTGGTAATTTTTGTGTCAGTTTACAGACGATGGCTAAACGTCTAAAATATCCATGTGTTGTGTCCAGCAGGTCACGTAGTTACGAGACGTAGCTGGATAAAATGGCTGCGCGGAAATACATAACGCGCGGAAACTGATGACTAGACGATACTATACAGCATACATATATATACTAAATGATGTCGAATCGTCAGGTAAAGGAGCTTTTGTTATTGATACCAGGGTTAATATTCCCACACAAGCAGATGACATATGTTTGATCAGTAACACAAGTATTGGTTTACAAGATATGGTTACAATTTGCGAAAACTATAGTCGTAAATGGAGATTTTCATTCTCTGTTGATAAAAGTAAAATAGTTGTTTTNCTCAACTGATTATGTAACCTTTGTACTGCATAATGCTATTTTTATTGACAAAATGTTGCTGTTGTATCAGCGTTAATAATGATATAACAGGTACATACGTAAGTACAATAGCAATGTCCAGCTATTTATTTTTTTTTTCTCTTATTTTGTGTGTGTTTATGTGTGGGTAAGCCTGAGAAGACCTTGTTGGTAGGGCTTTCCCCAACCCTTGGAAACCTCAGGATTCCCAGGCATTCTAATTATTTTGTATGATTTGCTGTTCTTTCTGTATTTACTAAACTAATTCAAGTTTCATTAACTTCTCTCTTCATCTCTGTAGTTAACTGATGTATTTATGTGCATGTAAGTATCAATTGATAATATTTGATTTGTATTTTGACTACACTGTATATTTTTGTAACTCTTCATTTTGGAGGAAATAAAGAAATAATAATACAGCATACATATATAGAGAATAATACATGCCTTTTTCCATATCACACCCAGTATCAACCCGAGACTGCAATATCAGCCAAAGGGCCGAAGGCCCGAGGGCTGATATTGGTCGAGGGTTGATACTGGGTGTGATATGGAAAAAGGCGTGTTTTATTCTGTTTATTACATACTTACTAATAAAAACTACTATCTTATGATTTATTTTTATTTTTGAAATATTGAAAATTGATTTTTTTTTTCCAAATGGGGTGTGATATGGGTTTTGCGGGCTGATATGGGTTTTGGGGTGTGATACGGCGGGGGCTGATATGGGTAAGCAATTGTGTCGTATCGTGTATACAAAAAAAACGTATTTATTAGTAAGTATGTAATAAATATAAATATTGAACATTACTTAAATACGCGATGTACCTGTTACTCCACCCTTTGTACCTATTCACGTTATCTATTCTTATAATCTACTTATATATTTCTAAAAATGAATTCTTTCAATAATGTATCTATGAACATGTGGACCCAAAACCATTCATGATATTAAAGGGAAGCAACTCCAACATAATTATGTGACTTGACAACATGTTAACAAACAAGGACCGGTACACATAAACGGGTGTGATATGTGTTTTGCGGGCTGATACGGGTTTAGGGGTGTGATACGGCGAGGGCTGATACGGGTTTAGGGGTGTGATACGGCGAGGGCTGATACGGGTTAAAGCAACTGTGTCGTATCGCATATACAAAAAAACGTATATTTTAGTAAGTATGAAATAAATAGAGAATAATACATGCCTTTTTTCATATCACACCCAGTATCAACCCGAGACTTCAATATCAGCCCGAGGGCCGAAGGTTGTGTTGCATTTTGCATTTTTAGACAGCAGCAAGGCGTTTGACACTGTATGGCACGCATGTCTCCTTTTTAAATCACATGAAATTGACATGAGAGGCAAGATATGGGTTATTCTTAAAGAAATGTATACACATGTAGATCGAAAGTTCAATATTATTTAATGGTTTAACATCACAAAGTATCAAAATTGAGAGGGGCATTTTACAAGGTGGATCTTTGTCTGCCAACATATACTTAATTTTCATAAATTAATTATTGAATGAAATAGAAACATGTTGAAAAGGTACAGTAATTATTGATTTAAAAGTTAACATCCCAACTCAGGCAGACGACATATGTCTTGTTAGTCCAATTTTTACATGTCCTGCGCTATATATAGCTAACCACAAGGACATGTTATATATATCGTCTGCTGGATAACTGAACTATTCGGTAGTGAAGCGGACGTAAATCCTATCAATCAATCATACATGTTATATATCCTGCGCTATATATAGCTAACCACAAGGACATGTTGTATATCCTGCACTATATATAGCTAACCACCAGGACATGTTATATATCCTGCGCCATATATAGCTAACCACAAGGACATGCTATATATCCAGCACTATATATAGCTAACCACTAGGACATGTTATATATCCTGCACTTTATATTCCGTCTTTGCGTATTGCAGAGTTATCTTCTCTTGGGAGCAGGTATTGATTGTTACGTCATTGGTTTGTGCGAGAAAATTACGTCGTTTTCTCAAAAGTTGATGACGTTACTCTCACAAACAAGTGACGTAACAATCAATACCTGCTCCCAAGAGAAGATAACTCTGCAATACGCAAAGACGGAATAGCTAACCACCAGGACATGTTATATATCCTGCGCCATATATAGCTTACCATCAGGACATGTTCTATTTCCTGCACTATTTATAGCTAACCATCCGGACATATTATATAACCTACAGCAGTTAGCCATCTGGCTGGGTCTGTTTTTCTCCGTCAACCACTAGGCCAATATGTTTCTGCTCGCAGTTGGTAAACTCTTTTGGTTACCCACCGGTGGGTTACACTCTGGACGTGATTTCATTGGCCAATCTTTTACTTATAACGTCACGTAACAATGCTTTGAGACGCCATCTTGCATTGTGGCGTCAGAATTCATGGCGATTGTTTCCATGACCGGGAACAGATATAATGTATTTTTTAAGGGAACACGTGGTTTTCCAAATATATTATGAATGTAATAGGAGGAAAAGGTACCCAAACTCGTGATGACTAGCTATCATATTTATATAAATCGAGTTACTTCATTTTGAAACTGTATATACAATTTAACAATTATTCATGGCCAACCATCACTCGTTGGTAAATCTACATACACTATATATAGCTAGCTAGCCATTAGGACCTGCTATTATTCTACGCTCGCCATCCATTAAGACCTAATCATATATATCCTAGTCCAGCTATAGTCATCTGGGCCGAATTGTTCAATGTCATTATAGCTTTACAAGAAGTTCATGACAAATTTTGAAGTACCGATTTTAAGAAGTTTCTGAAAATGTTGAATCCCTGTACATGAAGTCCTAATTTATTTTATTTTTTTTTATTTATTTTTTTATCTTTTTGATGATATACTTTATGACAGTCTCTACCCAGAGTTGTCGTCCCTTACACTCAACTTACACCCTTGACTTCAGGAACACAGGAGATGTAAAAGTCTTTTGATTTCACCAAAAATATTTATCTTAATACGACTACACATTGCCAGCAATAGTTGTTTATCAGTAGTCTTTCTGGAAGAATTGTTCGTTTTGGTACAGTATGAAGCAGTTTCAATGTGAACACAATTACAAGTGGTCAGGGCTCAGAAGAGTGTCCAAAGTGTGGACGTTGGTCAGGGCTCAGAAGAGTGTCCATGGTGTGGACGTTGAAATAAAGATAAACGAAGCGAGAAAAACACTTTAATCTTTAGCTAGAGTTCATTAACTTACAGAAAATAATTCGAAAATGTCAACTTCATATGTCAAGCGGTTAAAGACACCAACATCGGGTGTTAAGCAACCGAAAGACTCGCCAATACCACGTATAATGTAAAGGAGCATCATGGTTAGTCCTGAACACGTGTGCATGTAAGTGTGAATGCTAAATATTTGAAACCATATATACAACCTTTTCACAGTTATTTTTGTGTTTTCTTGTGTTCACAAAACGACTTTCCCATCTTGTTTCCGCTTTAAACACATCCACACTTATTGTCGAAAAC